GGCTGCACATCGGGGAAACCAAAGTTTCCGTACTGACTCCTTATGCTTTCCGGAAGCTGACAACTGTGCTGGGGGCACATACACACAATAATAATAAGAATAATAAGCCAGCCCTGGATGAGTGCAGCTCTCCACAGCCCTTGAAACACTCCACCTGTGCCGTCTCACGGGGTCTTAGGCCTGCCCTGAGCAGGTGCTGAAGCCGCCATGGTGGGGAAGAAGCAGCAGGCTCAGGGGGTTGAGTGCCCAGCTGTGGGGCACACAGCTAAGGAGGCCAAGCCAGGACTCAGAGCCAGGCCAGCTGGATCCATGACCCCACCAAAGAGCCATGAGAGAGCAGAAACCACCTGGGTTAGACCAAGTCAGGCCCAGGGAAAGGGCGGCGGGGGCTGCCGGAGCAGGTGGGCAGGCCATGTGGGGCTGGAGACACGGCCCTTATTATTCCCACGCGCCAGCCTTGACCAGAGCCAGGCCACGGTGTCCTGGAGGGCCGGCCCACGCCACAGCCTTGGCGTGCTGCCACCAGCGCCCACCAGGCCAGGGCTGCACGCACTCACTGGCTGGCGTCTGCCTCGTCAGCTCCTCTCGCTAAAGTGTCCATGGTGACCTGCCTGCCAGGGGCAGGGCGGGACAGAGAGCTCTGTCACGTGGGGATCAGGGAGCAGAAGCGGGAGGCAGAGCTGCCCTCAGGGCCTGAAGAAGGGCCTGGAGGTCGAGCCGATTGGGCACACACAGACGTGGGTTCCAGGCCAGCCGCGGGCTCCGACTTCCTTGGGGTCCTCAGGCAAGCCCCCTGCATGCCTGAATCTCAGTCTCCTCATCTATAAAATGGGCAGAGCAACAGCTGGCCCAGGGTGGTGAGGAGGGTTAATCGAGCCGGCTCCGGGAAAACGCTCTGAGACACTGAGCTACCTAAATGCCCGCTAGCACGGAGGGCTGACACTTGTGGAGCATCACGTGATGTGTATCAGGGAATCAATCTTAATTAGCTCACCTAACAGCTGGAGCTCAGAGATGACAAAAACCTACCCAGGTCATGCAGCTAGAAAGCGGTGGAGCTAGAACTTGAACCCAGGTCCCTCTGAGCTCCACGCTCTGCCACTGCAAGGGGCCTCCTGGTAGGAAGGCAGTGTCTGCGTGGGGGCAGTGCAGGCCGTGCCAGGGGGAGTCAGTCTTAGACCTGGGCCTCTGAGGCACTAACCGCAAAGACCCCAGCCCTGGAGCCTTCAGGCCAGGCCCCCTCCATCTGGTCCCCTCCCTCTGGTCTTCCCACGGCTCAGCTCAGGACCCCAGGGGAAGTTTCTAGTGCTAATGATGTCATTAGAGATCCCCAGGGGTCCCTGCCCACCTGAGGGCCAGGGAGCCAGCAACCCCTTGGTCAGAGAGGGGCAGGCGCCAGAGCCCAGCTGGGGCCTGGCTGGGGTGGGGGCCCCAGGAGAGGGGCAGGCGCCAGCTCATTAGATGGAGAGACAATGGGGTCAGTCCAGGCCTCCTCCTAGGCTCTGGAACAGCTACCCTCCTCTCCACCTGGGGCCAGGATTATGGTGGAGGGACCCTCCCCCACAACACCCACTGTCCGCTTCTCTGAAATTCACTTCCCAATTCTGCCTAGCACCAGAAGGGGGCAGGGAGGGGGAGAGCGGGGGGCTCAGATCATGGTCCTGGGTACATACCCCAGCAGGGACCCTCCCCCCATGTCCCTGGCTACTCCGGGGCCACCCAACCCACATTCCCCTTCCCACAGCGGGGCCGAGGATCTCCCGGTGGAGGCTGAGCCTTCTGCACCTGCAAACACCTGACCAGGGCAGTGCCTGCCCAAATCCACAGAGGTCCTGGCCATGCCAGGCCCGGGAATTAGGACCCTCTGGCCAGGCAGGACTGGGGGAGGGGCCCACGACTCCCTCCTTCCAGCCCCAAGAAACTGGGACCCGCGGGGCACCGCAACCTGCTCCCATCTCTATTCAGAAGCCTTTGAACTGGCCACAGGCAAAGCCCCAGGCTGCCTGCCTCCTCTGGGATCTCAATCCAGAGCCCAGGCCCCGCCGCAGCCCCAAAGTGGGAAGGAAGGCGGCCTCCGCGCCCCCTCCTCCAATTCCAGCTCCGAATCTCGAAGCCGAGGACACGGAATGGCGGAGCAGCTGCACCAGGGCTGTGCGGCGGCCATCCGTCTGCACTGGCGGCTGAGGGGGAGTCTGGGGGCTCTGTCCGGGGAAGAGGCCCCATCCCCACGCCGCCCTCCCGTTCCCGGGGTCTGGGCTGCGCGTGTCGGGGCCGGGGGAGGGGGTCCGGGCAGATCAGCCTGGGCCGCAGGGCGGGGCGCGGCGGCCGGGGATTCTCACCTGAAATTGGGCGGCGACGCGATGTGCAGCCCCAGGAACGGGGAGGCGGCAGGCGGGGACGCGGCGCCCCCGCCCAGGCCGCCGCTCTCTCGCTCCGCCATTCTCCGGCACAGCCCTGGCCATCCGGGCGGAGGCGGCGGCGAGGCGGCGGCGGCGGCGGGGAAGGAGGCGGCGCGCGGTTAGGGGCCGCCGCCGCCGCGGGGCTCGGGCTGGGCGGGCGCGGCGGGCGCACCTGCACGGGGCGGGCGCGGCTCCGACCGACGGCGCGCCGCCCTCGGCTCTGGCGCGAGCCCTCCGCGCGCCCCCGGGCCCTGCCGGGCCTCCGCGCCCCGCCCCGGCCCGCCCCCGGCCCCGCCCCGCCGGCGCTCTCCCTGGTGCTGAAGCCGCGGCCCCGCCCCGCCCTAAATCCCGCTCTGACTCCTCTGCCCCCTTCCCTTGGCGCGAGGCCCCCCACCCCGCCCTCCGTCTCCGTGCGGCCTCGGCCCCTCGGGCCCTTGGGATGGGCCTAGCGCTTGGGTGTCAGGTAACTACTGGCGGGACGCCGATCCCCAGGAGTCTGGTTGGCCCCCCGCAGCAGACAAAGAAGGCCGACAGGAAAGGAGGGTCATTGGAGGAAGGCGAGAGGGTGTCGGGAGCCGGCTCTTAGAGCAGACCAGACGGATTTGGAGTCAGGTGGTATGAAGTGACAACCTGGCTCCCCAAATGGATAGGTGGTGTGGCCTTGCATTAATGACTTCACAGTCCTAAGGTCGGTTTTCTCATCTGTGAAATGGGGACAATAATGGTCCCTCTCACGGTTGTTGTGAGGATGAAAGGTAATACAAATGAGTTGTCATTGGAGGCCGGGAATACCTCGCTTCCTGTTGGGATCCAGGTCTCACCCCATCTTGTCCCCTTACCTTGAGGGGACCCTTCCAAGGACTCTCCCTAGAGGGTCTCCTCTCTAAAGACTGACCCTAGCCCCTTTGGCCCCAAACAGCTACTACTGAACTGAGCCCCTCTTGGCTTCTTTTAGCTTCTCCCTCATGTCAGGACTTTCCCAGATTTCTCCATCACCTCAATTCCATTTCCTGCAGAGCACCCCTCTTTTGCACCCACAGACACCCCATAGCTGGCTTCTCACCTTCTAAGACTTGGGGCCTTTCCTCCTGCCCCCACAGTTGACTTCTGGGGATTCTTTGGGTGGTTTTTCTGTCTCCTCCAGGGCCTCTACCCCTGCTAGGTTTGGGCTGTGGTTTCCTCCAGGCCTTCTCTCCCCTCAGAGGGTTAAGCTTGTGAGTTCTTTCAGAGTGTGGACTACTGGACATTCAGGCTTCTGGCCAAGGCTAGGGCCCTGGCTTTGGTGACACAGAGCCTCTGGCCACACCTCGCTGGCTTCTCTGGCCACCTGAGAGAACCACAGAGGTTCTGTCCTTCACTGCTCTCCGAAGAGGCTTGGCAAACTGTTGCACAGCTGGTAGAACAGTATTTGCAAAGCTGGACTGCCAACTGGTCACGCCAGCTCCCTTTCCCTTCAACGTGGCACCCAGAAAGCAGCTGCAGGTGCCTGTCCTGCAGTCACCAGCCCCCCGGCCCAGGCCCAAGAACACCCCAGCACCTGGAGCCCAAGGCCCTGGCTGCCTCTCTTCTCCCTGCCCCTGAGCCCAGAGGGGCAGCCACTTGACCTTCCCTGCCATCTTGGCCCAGGCTCCTTCCACTAGGCCCAACAGCAACCATCTGCTGCTGTGGGGTCCGCTTTCCTCCCAGGAAAGCAGTCTTGTCATAGTGGCGAATAATTGTTCCTGAGAATGTGTGCTTGCCTCAACTAGGGAGCATCCCCAGGTCAGGAGTGTGTGTGGAGGACAACTCTATCTTCCAGAACCTTTTGCTCAAGAACAAATCTTAGCTCCAAGCCCAAGCCGAAACCACTTAGAAGCCAGGGGAAGGGAGGCCCAGGTCTTGGTGGGAAGGGGGCCAGCAGGAGCTTCAAAGCAGAGCCAAAAATGAGCCGAGTCCCAGGGTCAAGCCCCTCCTTCTCCCCTTCCTCACTCTGTGCAGGGCAGCTGGTGATATTCTTCCCACAGGAAGTCGGGGTGTGGACTAACAAGGCTCTCATCTCCCGGGGTCCCGCAGGAAAGCCCACGCACACTGCACAGAGAGGGGCCACACTCTGGCCAGACGGCATGAGACAAAGCCAGCACATAGGCCCTGGGCTCGGCTGCGGGCAGAGCTCAACCACCGACCAGAGCTGGGGGCTTGCATCCCCTCCACCCACACACTGCTGAGGCTTAAGTGAGTGAGTTGAGGTAAAGGATGGATTGAGGGCCTGGAGAGGGCCCTACCACTGATGCCCAGCCTGGGGGCTCTAAGGGGGTGGCGAGGCTGGGTCACTGCAGGACAGCCATCAGGAGCCTCTCCTGGGGCCCGAGTGCTGTGTACCACTCTGGCCGATGGACTCCTAACTCTCACCAAGCTCTGGAGCTGTCATTAGTCTGCTCTGGCCGCTCACCTAGGAGGCTCCCCTTCATCCATCTCCCACTCCACTCCTTCCGTCACCTCCAAGGAAGGGTGAGAGGCTCCTGGGTGCAGCAGAACCAAGGCGGTCTGGCCTAAGGCTTACTCTGGCTCGGCCTTCCTGACTCCCGCTTCCCAGACCTCCCACAAGATTGACCACAGCACAGCTTTGCTTAAACAGAGTGAGACGTTTATGAAACAAGTGACTAGTCACAAACTGTGGGAGAAACACACCTTCCCAGCAATCGAAAATCTCCATATAAAGTGCATTTTACCTGCGACCACCTCTCCCCCATGCTGGCCCTTGGGTGGGGTTTCGAGGCAATGCTCTGCAGCAGCCCCCAGGGTTACCTGGGCCAGGAGAGGGGAGGCCCGAAGCCATCGTGGAGCTCCAGGCCACTGGATGCACCCTTTCCTCACGCGGTCCCTCCCAGCTCTGGGAGTGGACGGCTCCATTCCCCTGGGAATAGGCCGGCATGCCAGGGATGGTGCACAAGTCGGGGGAGGTGGTCGTGCCAAGTTTTACCTTAGGGAAGAGAGCCATCATCCGACAGGCAGGGAAAGGGAGTCATCCTGATATAGGAAGGTGCTGCTAAATAAATAGTGACTCTCGTCCTAAGCTCTCCGGCCTTCTGACTCTCAGACCAGCTCTCCCAGGCTCCCTCTACGCCTCTGCCAGCAACAGCCCCCGAGTCTCTTTCCTCCTGGCTGGCTAAGAGAACGGGGAAACGCCCAACCTAATACTGTGAATACACACCATCACCTGGGCCCTGCTCCCCCACGTGATCACGGGACATTTCTAGCGAGGGTGACATACATACAGTCAGACTCTAAAGGCAGCTCTCTGGCTGAGAAAACCTGAGGACCTCTCAGGAGGAAGCCTGTCAACGTGCTGCACAGATGCAGGAGACAGGGGCCTGCCCCGGGTTCTGGTCCGAGGACAGAGGACAGTGAGGGACAGGGCTGGGGCGAAGGGAGTTAACAGCTATGAGGCTAGGAAAGGTCACAGGGGAGGTAGAGAAGAGAAGGCCCAGAGGCCAGCTTAATGTTACACGTGAGGACAAAATCCGAAGAGGAATTAGCCTCTCAGCTACGTGCACACCTGTACGTGTACACACACACACACACACACACACACACACACACACACACGGTGGCTCAAGTGCAGGCCACAGCGTGGAAGGAAGACTTGCTCCAGCTGACGACACAGTCCTCCTTTCAGTACGCATTTCTCAACACAGGCCTTCAGCCGTGGGAGGGGATGTTGGGAGGCACAGGCGACTCCTGGAATGCAAGGCCTTGGCTTCTCTGGGTCAAACCTCCCACCTGTGGCTTCTGGAAGGGCTGGTGCGCTGGGTGGGATCTCGATTTGGACCTTTCCCAACTGGCCCTGGCAGTCCCCACCCGAGTTCACCTGCCTGGGTACTTGGCGTCCAGCTCCTGGGAGAGCTGACGTGGCAGCTTGGATGCTGACCAGTTCCGGGCAGGGCCTGGAAGCCTACAGAACAGACTAGAATGGCTTCCCTGGCTGGGTGTCAGCTGACCTCAGTGGCAGACCTCTGGTGCCCTGGACTGTGGCTAGAGCAGCCGGTGCTTTCTACCGCCAGGAACCTGGCCTCCTCGTGGGGGAGGCACCGACTCGCCACGGTCCGCTCTGAGGCTGGCTCTCAGCTTCTGAGGAAGGACAGTGAGAGCTGGGATTCTATTCCTACCCTTAGGCTTGCAGCCCCCAAAACGTGGACGCACTTTCTGGGCCACCATCTATAGTACCGTGTGCACAGCACATAGCTCAGGCATCTGGTGTACTTCCGTAGGATGGTGGAAAGTTTCAGACCTGTCTACAGCCTTGTGCTCAGTCCCAGATGCCTGAGGAGGGGTCTGGAGGACCCCGTGGCTGGGGATTTTAAAATAAGAAAGAAGCCAGGCCAGGTGGCCATGTCTGAACAGCACTGGTCCACTCCAGCCTCCAGGGTCATAAAGCAGGAGCCCAGCAGGGCTCCGGCCGCCTCTAGAGTACCACGCTCTGGACAAGTCAGAAACGTTGCCCTGCTGCCCCTCAGTCCCATGTGAAGAGGGAGCGAGTGGGGGCAGATGGCAGACTCCCAGCCAGGGTCCCGCCCCTCTTCTATCCAGACAGGGCGGCTGGCTTGCAGACAGGTCTTGGCTGAAAGTCACTGCCATGACCTCTGGCCTGGTGTCTGGAGGCTGAGGTGAGCTGCTACAGGGACTCCTCCGGCCCGGGCAGCGCTCAGAATCACAAGAGTGTAACAGACGCATGCACACGCAAACAGGCACACCATCCCTCCCCCTGCACACGCGCACACACACACACACATGTTCGCTCCCTCTCTGTCGTGATGGCGATCGGCTTCTCTGCAGGCTGCACTCTGCTGCCACGCGGCTGCTCAGGCACCCAGGCTTTGCTCGCAGAGCCACGGCACCACAGCTGGAAGAAAAAAACAGTACAGAAAGGAACATTCAGGAGGCTGCTCAGCTGCCCGGGGACACAAGCTCCTCTGGCTGCTTCTCCGGGGACGCTCGGACCGGGAACTGGGAAGAGCCTGAAGAGGGAACCGTGCCACACGGGCCACAGCACCTGGGGACAAGGCTGTTGCCAGGATGCCAGTGGGTGCCTGCACACTGCCCCTGAGTGCAAGCTCCCCTGCAGACGCCTTGGGCCTCCTCTGCTCCAGGGCCAGGGGCAGCCCAGGAGGAGATGGCTGTGTGAGACTCACGTGAGGCCACGGGGGACACTTCCTCAGATATGACAGGGGCAGTTTCTGACTCAAGGCACAGCAGCTGCTGCCAGAGATGGAGAATCAGAAAAAAATGCAAGAGAAGCCAGCTAGGACGAGTAATTTTGAGGATGAGGGCAATGACTGAGTTTGGAATCAGCAGGTGAGCACATTTCCACATATAGACAAAAGAACTCTGGCACAGTGCTAGAAGATGGCGGGGGAGACAGGAGACACAAAGATGACTCACTTTAAAGATTTATAAGAGCCTGAATCCGGGGCAGAGGAAGAGATGGCCTCAAGCCCGTCATAGTGCTGGGCTGCCTGGTGAAATACGTCTAGTGTGTCTGAGGGTGTACAGAGACAAGCAGGGTTCCCTTACAAGTTCATACAGTTTAGGGGCTGCTGAGGCCCATAAGAATAACACGGCTTCCTGAGCCTGCTGTGGCTCAGACACTGTCCACTTGTGTTATCGGTGAATTGTCTCCCCTCAAAATTCTTACAGTGAAGCCCCAGTGCCCCAGAACGTGACTGCTTTTGGAGACAGGGTCTTTAAAGAGGTAATTACGGTAAAATGAGGTGATTATAGAGTGAGCCCTAATTCCATATGACTGGTGGCCTTACAAAGAGAGCTGAGGGCACAGACGCGCGCAGAGGGAAGGCCACGGGGAGACGCAGGGAGATGGCAGCCGTCTGCAAGCCAGGGAGAGAGGCCTCAGAGGAAACCAGCCCTGCCGACACCTTGGTCTCAGACTTCCAGCCTCCAGAGCCGTGAGAAAATAAATTTCCGAGTCACCCAGTCTGTGGCACTTCGTTATGGCGGCTCTGGCAACAAACACAGCTTGCGGTCCCCTCACCCCTGAAGGCACAGCCTCCGTTTTTACAGACGAGAAAACTGGAGCCAGAGAGGATGAGTTGCCCGAGACTATGGCATCCAGAAGTGGGATAGCCAGGCAGGGAAAGCTGGGGCAGTCTGCTTCCAAACCTGTATTTTTACCACGAAGTAATCTCTGTATTATAGAATTGCTCATTAAGACTTCTAGAGGATGTGAAAAGAAAGTCAACAAGGTGGCATGACTAATATCCGAGTGACACACACGGAAGTTCAGATGTTAATAAAAAATGAAATGCTCTCAAGAGTCAAAGACACTGGAGAGAAGGATTCAAAACCAGTCTTCCAACACATACCGCCCTTTTAAGACAAATGTTAAATCCGAAGAAGATTTTACCTGGATCCGTTTATCTAGAAGCTGGGTAAAATAAAGGGCAACCATAGGAGCGGGCTCCCGCCTGGGTGAGTACCTCATTCTTTACAACGCGTATTATGTCCAACCACGTCTCCCTTTCAGCTTGTACTATAATAACCTAACCATATGTTTTCACTACAAATAAATACATTTGCGACTAAAGTGTGCGTGTTTGCTGAAACAAGGTGGCTGTGCTGTTTTAGACACAGGTCTCTCTCCAGACCTTCCTGTTGAGCTGAAGAGCAGACAGTCTCCTGAAACTGGACATTCCAGGCCTGGAGAGGTTGCCACACGGGCCCTCCTGCCAACACTTTGGCTTCCAGTGTTTTCTCCACCTTCAGGCGCCAGGAGATAAGAGGGCTTGAAAATTCCTCAGAACAAGACTCTTAGTCTGGGGGCCCTGGAGCTTTAGGGGGTCCAAGCATGGGCTTAAGGGGCAGTCCACGAAGACCCTGAGGGGCTGAGCACGCTTTTCCGTGCGTGGGAACAGGTGCCATCTTCTGGGGAGAGGCTCCATCCCGTCAGACTCTCCCAAGCACGGGTAATCCAACAGGGGCTGGGAAGCACGGCCTCCACTCAGAAGACAAGGGGTGAGGCGGGTCAGATGCTATATTGGCAGCAGTTGAGACGCATGCTGACACACGATTTAGCCGCGGGCCAGCTCAAGATGGGAGGGGGAAGTGTCCTGGCCTCAGATAAGCCCCAGTGACCCCAAACCGTCTCTGATGCATTCAAAAAGGCAAACACAGAAAACCAAGGTTTAGAAGACCCAGCTTGTCCTTGTCTACCAAGATAGTCAAAGGCCTATTCAACTAGTTCCTCAAGCTGCTTGATCAGCAGATAACTACATGGTCCCCGGGCTCTTGTTTTCAAGCTAGGGCACAAGTCTGCAGAAAAAGGGGGCAGGAAGGATCAAAGGAGGCCGTGCAGGAAAATGATGACAGCAGCACGAAGGGAAAGGGAGGAACGACGCTCCAAGGGAAAAATCAACTCACAAAAAACACGCACAGAAAAATCAGTCTCCCGGTTGTGCAACTCTTTCAACCTGTCGTTAATCCAAGAAACACAGAAGCAGCTGGAACACACAATCCCTTCGTAACTGCCTCCCTCGGTGTACCCAGTGTTAGCTAGGATGGCCCCTGGTGCCTGTGCCCTCACACCCCTCCCATCCTGCAGATGCTAACAAGAAGCCCTGATCTGGAGCCCAGCCCCAATCCCAGCCCTGGAGGGCGCATGGAGAACACGCATGCGGGAGCTGCTGCCGCACAGGAGACCTCAACAGCTCAGGGTCTAGCGGAAACCTGTTTGGAGCCTGTAATGGAGCCTTAGATGTCGTCCTCTCCCCACCACAGTGGGGGAGACACAGCGCCCAAGTTAGGAGCAGCAAGTACGGTGACGCAGCTGGGCCTGGACGGGGTACCAGGCTGAGCTCCCAGCTCAGGCCAACTCCTCACGTCCATCACACCCGTACCCTCCCTGCGCCATACAAACCTTGCAGCAAAGGGAGGGGACGCTGCTCAGCGAGGGCCACGGAAAGGGCAAGGGGACACCAAGCCCCAACTTCTCATTTCCAGGTCAGAAACTGAGACCCAGAGAGACGAGGTGGCTTGTGCGAGGTCTCCCAGGCAGTGGTGGCAGGGCTGGGAGGGGACACGGGTCTGAGCGTAAGGCCGGGCACTTTTCAGAACCCCTCACTGCCTCTACTTCCCCTGTGGAGCATTTACGGACTGCCCAGGGCCCTTCACGGACAGTGTGTCCTGCACGGAGGGACATACGCTAAACACGTGTCAAAAGAACGGTGAAGAGATTCCAGGATCAGGCTTTCCCCAGCGAAGCCCGGGCTCACCACGCTCGGGGGAAGTGCGCGGGGAGGGGAGATGGCTCCTTGGCCGTGAACCCTGTGTTCAATGGGGCTTCTCTCGACACCACTGTGTACCAGCACAAGGGCAGCTGGGCCACGTGAGCTGATCCTCCTGTGGTGAAATAATTGGACCAATGAGAAAAATCTGTGCACAATTCGGAGCTAATGGAATCCTGAGCAGTCAGCGGCTTTGGGGATTACGGGGAAGCAGCTGAAACGAGAGCTGTTTGGGGGCTGGCTTGTTTTCCAGTTTAGTGAGCATCGTACAATAAAACCAAAGGCGGGACAGACGCTGGTGTGGGTTTGAGGTGAACACGGAACCTACTGATACCAGGGCGGGTTCTCCCACAAGATCAGTCCAAACTGAGAGTCACTGTCTGCCCTGTGAGCTGCCACAGGCTGAGGCCTTAGAAATAACAGAACCACAGAACTATGGAGCTCAGAGCTAAATGGGGCCTCCGAAGGTCCAGGATGGAGCCTTCAGGCTGGAAAAGAACGATGAGTCTCAGCTTGCAGCTCAAGCGTCCCAGAATGGTTAGGTATCCAGCCCCAAGCCACACAACTAAGACTGGCGGGCCCCGTCTCCTCTCCTGCCTCTCAACACGGCACCATGTCAACACAGGCCACACGGCCACAGCTCTGGGGTCCGCCTAGCCCAAGGTGCTGGGAACGGTAACACAGTCAGAGACACCCTGAGAAGCGTGGGCCGGGCAGGGACGTGATTTCATCCGTGTGTGCATTTGACTTGTTCAAAGGCTTTTCACATAGTTTGCATTTTCTCTCCCTGACATGTATGCTCGATGGGTAGGGCAGCTGACAAGATGCTGTTATTCCTGGTCCACAGATGAGGATGCTGAACATCTTTAGGCCCAGGAGCTACCACCAGCAGACAGTGAAGCACAGGGCACTCTTTCTTCTCAGGGCTCGCAAAGAACACGGCTGTTCCTCCCCAGTCTGTCTTGGGGGGCTGTCTGCACCTGCCCAACTCCTCTGACCCCCTGGCCCCCACTTCCCACCATGCAGTCAGCCTGGCCTAACAGCCCAATCAGCCATGATTAAGGGCACAGTAAACCTTGAGAATTGGTCCTTAAGATGCCCATAGGCTGGTGGACGGTTTCCTGGACCACACGGCAAGAGACAGGTGCTGACGCTGCACCCCTGTCCACTTCGACTCCCTGCCCCGGCCTCCGGGCTGGCTCTCTCCCCTCCGCCATTCGTCTGCAGGTCCCGCCCAGTGCCTGGTTAACCTTCCCCAAATGCCAGTGTGATCACTTCACCCTCCTGTCCCAAAATGCTCCTTAGCTCCCCGAGTACACTAAGCACTCATCTGCCTGCTATTTAAGAGCCTCCACGATCAGACCAACTGTAACCTTACAAACTTCTAAAATCCTAATGATAACAGTATCTGTAATAATACTAATAATAATAGCTGCCATTTACTGGGTACTTGTGAACTTATGAGCCAGGCACTGGGCTAAGTGCCCTGCGTATGAGGCAGACCCGTTAGCTGTCTACCGGTATCCACACTTCCTAGCTAACAGAACCGAGGCCTTATTCAGGGGCCCCGGGCCTGGCCCAGACAACGGCTCATGACTGGTCTAATCACAATTCTCGAAGCACACACATTCCAGGAACAGCAGCAGCAGCAACAGCTGGGAACTCGTCAGAAATGCAGATTCTCAGGTCCCACCCCAGACCTATTGAATCAGAAACCCCGGGAGTGGGGCCCGGCCGCCTGTGGCTGTACGAATCCTCTGGGGTTCTGCTGCTCAGTCAACTTCTAAAGCCAATGGTCTAAGGCAATCCTGACAATCCCGTTTCATACCTTGGGGGTGGCTTTGAGACTGACAAGGTTCTGCTCATGAGCCCAACATGAAAAGGTGGGGGAGGGCTATTCAGGGAAAGCTTTTATTTTCTTACTAAAAAGGAAGAGAGGCCTCTCCTGACAGCCCTTATCTTATAAAACTGCAACCTCCACCGTGCCCCAACCTGCACTTTCTATCTTCTCACCCAATTTTAGTTTTCCATCATCCCATTTAGGGCCTCTTGACATATCATAGATCCATTTATTTGTTTATTGTCTGTCTCTTCCCACAAAGATGCACCCAAGAGGGAAGAGACTCTGTCCGTCTTGTTCACAGCCATATCCCAATGCCTACAACAGTGTCTGGCAAACTGTGAACACCTGATGTGTTTACTGAATGAACGAGTACAGCTGTCTCTGCTATTCCTTCTCTTTCCTGCTTTGAATGATGAATTGATGCCTGAAGCTATCGCAGCCACCCTGAGACACGAAGCGAGAGAATCTCAGAAAAACTGGCTTTGACATCATTGAGCCACCAAACCAAAACCAGCAACACCCAGCTCTGGGCCTCTCGTTAGGTAAGAAAAATAAACCCGTTTGTTTTAGCCACAGTGGTCAGGGTTCTACTCTCAGCAGCCCCACACATTCCTAACTCACGTATATTTAATCATTGAATCTTTGCAACCACCACCTAATTCATAGGGGAGGAAACTGAGTCTCAGAGCAGTTACTTGACGAGATCAAGTTAAACTGTTTTTGTCTGAAATGCCCTTCTTGCTGCCTAAATGCAATTACCCTTTGAGGCCCCCTAGTGTGAACTTCTGGGTTATAGTCCCTGATTGCCCCAGCCCACCAACAGCAGCCTGTGACAAGCTGGCGGGGTCTGTATCATCTGTCTAGGAGTTACAGGTTGTCTTCTTTTTCTAAGCAGACTGTGAACTCGCTGTGGATGGCATCATATGACATGTCATACGTCACATGCTCCCTTTCCTCACACCCCGGCGGGCAACAATTTCATGCTGAATTGGATGCCATAAGCTTCCTGAGCAACCTTGAGCCACACATTTAACCTCTCTGGTTCTTTGGTCCTTTCACCTGAAATTCCGAGTACCAGCCTGGCAAGTTCCAGATTTGTAAGACGGAAAGAACTTTGCTTAGCATCACGGAGCACAGAGATGGCTAAGAGAGTAGCATCTAAGCTTGCTGGGGCTCCGAGGACAAGATAGCACCAATCTGTCCATCAGCACGTCTAGACAAAGAGCCTAGCAGGGTACTGGGCGCCAGCACCAAACAGTCACTGTCTCATCGGGCATTCCAGCCTAGACACTCCCACCAGATGGCCCCGCTGGGCCCGGAAGTGGAAGGGCTCGGAAGAAAGAATCAGTCGGCTCCATGGAGAAAATCACCCTCCAATCTAATGATGCAGATATGGCACAGAAGGAACAGCCTGAGAGGAAGATTCCAAGAGGACGCAATTTACACTTTCCCAGCAAAGGCCCTTCCTGCCCCGGGGAAGGGGGAGCCAGGCTTTTTTTTTCTTAACAACATTCAAAGGGGCTTCCACGAAAGATGAGTGCTGATGGGGAAGCGCGGAGTTGAAGCCGCAAGAGAGGTGAGAATGGAGCAGTGGCTGCAAGAGGCAGAGGTGACGGGATCAGGTTGGCTGGTCCTTGGTGGGGCTGGGCCAAGGGAGCTGCCACTGGGCCTCTGCCTGTCTTCGGAAGGGGAGTGCTGCCCCCCGCCGGCCTGCCTGCAGAACACAGCCTGAGGGGCAGCGGCTGATGGGCCAGGAGCATCCTCAGACCCTGCCTGCCACAGGGCCTTTTCTCAACCACAGCTTCACATCCGGGTCTCGGCTTTCTTTTTGTTGGCTTTGACTCACTTTCATAAGTAGTAAGAGCCAAAAAAATTTTTTTCCTTAGCTGGCACAGAAAAAAAGGGCTTTACTTTTAAACTTCCTTTTCAATTTTAGACGGTACGGAAGTCAGAACAGAATTTCTGAGCTGAAATCCTCAGAAATCGCGCAGTTCCCAGCAGGTTTCATTCTCGTTGGCTGTTTTACCTTTTGGTGGGCAGGGCAGCAGCTTTCCAAACCCACGCCCCCTCTCCCACTGTCCCCGTCGCTGACCGGGAAGCCGCGCTCACCTCAGACAGCCCTGCTCGGCGGCTCTGCCACCCTGGCCCGTTTGCTGAGCTCCTCACCGGGCGGCTCCTCGGCAGCTTCCAGCTTGCGTTTGGGGGATGCTGGGCCACTGGGTGGTGGTCTTGGGCCTGTAGGGAGGCAGGTGAAGTGTCACACCAACTGTGTGGACAGCCACGAGGGCCTGAAACTGTGCAGAGGTGGCCCTTTAGGGGGTAGGAAGCCAGCTCACCAAGGCTCCTCCAACCTGCCCCTTGGCAGTGCCCTCACCTAGAAATGTCCAAGGAGAGCACGACCAGGCCTGTGGGCAGCGGGCCTGCTTTTGGGCCCCAAATCCCTTGGGTTCCAGGCCAGAGTCTGGCTGGGCCTGTCTGCTGTCCTTGCTCTGAAGGTCACTCCCCTGCGAGCCTGAATGAGCCTCCTGAAACAGGAATGAGTGGTGCCCTCACCTGTGGAGCCAGCCTGGCTGGGCAAACTAGAGAAAGCCCTGGAGTGCTTGCCAGTCTTGGCAGTGCTTTACTGACCTCAGCCGGAGCCAAAAGGAGTGGGTAAAGAAGGCGGCAAATCTGTCTCCTCTCTCTTCCCTGCCACCACCGGGGCCCGGCTGTCGTCTCCTGCCCGGACAACTGCAGTCGCCTCCTTCCTAGCCTCCCTGTGCTCACGCTCGCCCACACTGTCCCTCCACACAGCAGGCAGAGCACTTTTAAAACACAAGCAGCTTGTGCCCCGCCCTGCTGCCCGTGGTCAGCGCCTTCTCAGCGCACCAAGGACAGGAGCCTAACCCTCCACGCCGATGCTGAGCCTGCACGGTGCTACTCCCACGACGTCTCGTCCTCATCCCGTCTGGCTCCTCACTCGGGACATGCAGCCCACTGGCTTCCCTCTGTCCCTTGAATGAGCTAAGCTCGCTCCCGTCGCTGTGTCTCTTCTTGCTAGCCCCCTTCCCTGGAATGTTCTTCCCCAGTTCCTGGAAAGGCTGGCTCCTGCTCACCATGTGGGTCCCTGCTCAGAGAGGCGTTCCCCGGCCACTCCGATGTAAAGTAACCCCAAGTCGTCCCCCTTCCCCAGCCCCTTTCTTACGAGGTCACTCAATTTTATTTCCCCCAAGCACTTGTTATCGGAAATGACCTTGCATGGTGCCTTTACTATCTGTCTCCTCCAGGCAGGACCTAAGCTCCATGGGAGCAGGGACTGGTCCTGGCCTTTGTCCTCAGCCCTCAGTGACTGGAGTGGTGTTAGTCCTGCAGTGCCTTTGGGATGGCGCAGGCCAGGGAGGCCAGCTGCTACTCACCCGCACTGCTCACACTCCCAGCCTGGCTCGAGCTGGGCTCTGCCACCGGGTTGCTGAGGTCTTCCACACAGGAAGGGACAGACGCCAGTAGACCTGGGGGACAGGGGAGGGACTGATCAGACTCTCACGGGACTGCAGAGGGCTGCCGGGCAGGTGAAAACAAGGCAGGGGGTGCTGGGCCACAACACGGAGGCTCCATCTCTTCCCAACGGCCACGACGACTCAGCGAGGCCTGACACAGCCCAGCCCCCACTGTTCTGTGCCCGGGGAAGTCAAGTCAACCTAACAGCCTGGAAGACAGAACTCAATCTCCCTTTGCAAATATCCAGAAATCCCCATCTCCACTCTCCGAGCCCACAGCTGCCGTCCTTCCCTTCAGGGAGCTAGGGGACGGTGCTGGGGGCAGTGGCTGCTCACAGAGTCCCCGGTAGCGGGAGAGCTGCTGGTAAATCTGCTTCATCCGCTCGATGTTGAGCCGGCTGGTCTCGGCGTGGTTGACGATGGGCCGTGGGTAGTCCACACCGATGATGCACTTGGCTGCCTTCTGAACGGCCTCAGGGGCATTCCAGGGCTCGTAGATGTAGCGAGAGGGGAACGCTTTCAATTTGGGCAGGTATCGCCTGGGACACACACACCGGACAGCCCATGAGCAAACTGGGGCCCTCACGCCAGGAGGCGGCCACAGCGGTCAGGAGCCGGGGAGCCTGCCGGGCAGCCTCACCTGATATAGTCCCCACTGGGGTCGGTGCGGCGGCCGAAGCCCACGGGGCAGTAGCAGTGAAAGAACTGCTGGAAGAAGGCGCTGCAGGACAGCCACATCCAGCTGCCCGCGTTCACGCTGAAGTCCGCGTCCAGGAGCAGCTCGTCAAACACCTGCACGGGCAGCGGGACCGTCAGCCTCCCTGGGGACCCACCTGCCACGGTTCTCCCCAGTCACCGCAGTGCCCCGCGGAGGGGAGCAGAGCCCTCCTGCCCAGGGCGAGCGCAGGAGGACTGGGAAGGGTCTCCTGGACCCCGGGGTCCCACCGCACTCCCCCACCCAGAGGGGGCGGCCCCTAGCACAGACCAGCTCCCCGTGGACTGCACTCACCCGGACCCCGCTCTCCCAGCTGACCCAGAGGTCCCCGCGGGTGAGGAAGCAGGCCACGGCGTGCCGCGCCAGGTGGTGGATCCAGCCCTCCTGCCTCAGCTGGGTCATGATGGCGTCAATCCAAGGGAAGCCTGTCTTGGCCTCGGCCCACTTGGCCAGGGCCTCGGGGTTGCGGTCCCAGGGGATCTGGATGCAGATGGGGTTCCCCTCCATGCGGTCAAACCTGGGGTTGTTGGTGGCTGCCGTGTAGAAGAACTCTCGCCAGAGGAGTTGCCCAAACAGGGAGAGGGGCGGCGTGCTGTTCCGCTTCACCTGGGGGGTCGTGGATACACACACTCAGCTCTCAGCATCATGTCGCTCGAGTCTCCCACAGGGGATCTGGAGCCGCCACGGACTCGGTGGCTCTGACCTCCTTAGACACATGGAGGGACTGTCCCCAGAAGAAGTGGCACCATGTGCCCGCAGACTGAAACCCCAGGCCCTGGCTGTGCCGCCCGCTGCTCTGAGCAGAGACGAGGGCTGCAGAGTCAGCCAAGGAAAGGGACCTCGCTGCAGGACTCCGCCCTGGGACCAAACTCCCCAAGACCAGGTCATGGTCCTTGTCCTCTAGGGTCCCTGTCTGGCTCCACTTTCTAGAACCTCAGAGAGTTCCCATCGGCATGCATAAAAATGCTCAGCTAGGATGTTGGTTAAATAAGTTATACGCAACAGCCTGGATCTGGGGCCGTGAGGGAATTACAAGATCAGACCTCCAAGTGAATAATGATTTTCCTAGAATCACAAGCTTGCCCCCCACACTGGCAAAGCCACTGCATGCCACAAAATCTCGACACTGGCCAGAACGGGAAACAGCGTGGAACAACACAGACACGAGGGGGCCCTGATGAATGTGAAGAGCTGGCTGGGCTGCCCGTCTCCGTCCGGGGGTGGGGGCATTCACACGGGCTTCTTTGTCTGTGTGGTATGGCCGCAGCCCCCAGGTCACTTCCTCACCCCTGACGGCAGCAGCCACTCCTGGACTCCCGTTAAATGCTCTGGACACACCCGAGAGGGCCGCGGTGCTGGTCAGCTCAGGACGGGCTCCAGCCTTGCCGCCCGCTTCCCACCCTGAGGGTGCGCCCCTCCATGCTGCCAGCAGACCTGCCCCCTCGAGGGTCGCCTCCTGCGGTCAGCTTTTCGGCCTGTCCTGCTCTCCTGGAGAGCCTGGATTTTAGTCTGCTCAGCGGTCAGGTCGGCTCGGCTCTGCCACCTGCCCTGGACTATCGCCCAGCGCAGCGCCTCCAGGACCCAGAGCCTGGGCGAGGCAGGCCCTCCCTCCTCAGGCCCGGCCCCCTCACCTTCCTGTACAGGTCCCACAGGCGGTAGTAGAAGAGGCGGCAGGAGAGGCAGCCGAAGCGCAGGTAGGGGCTGAGGCCCGTGGGGCTGGCCAGCAGCGAGGCAGCGTTCATGCGGGGCCTCTCGTAGTTGGCAACCCAGGCCTGTGCAGAGAGAGGGCGAAGAAGGCAAGGCCTGGACGTCAGAGAAGAGAAGACGAGGCGCCTGGTGGTTCAGGAATGTGCCTAAGGCCACCGAGCTGACAGCCAAGGAGCCAGGACCTCCTCATGCTGGCGGAGTGTTCGATGGGGCCAGCACAGAGCAAACGACGAGGCCCAAGTTCTTGTCCTGACTATTTAATTTGTCGTATGGTCAAGAACAAGTCATTTAGTCCCTCAGCTACTTAACTATGAAATGAGAACAAAATTTCCACCTCCTGGGGATTAAATAAAATGGTAGATATGAAAAAATTTCAAAGGCAGTAAACAGTCTGGGATTGTACAGAAGAAAGGAAGAAAGGCTTCTGCTTCACAGAAACACATGCTTCTGCGGGTCCCCGCTCTCGTCACCGGGACCTCTCACCCTGGCTCAACAGCGGCCATGAAAGGAGGGACTCCCACCCGCCTCCTGGGGGCCCACAGGGTCACGCATTTCCGGGCCACCTGCCCTACAGCATTATCGGCCTTGTTTGGATCACCTGCTGCCGCTGGTGCAGGGCTGTACCCTCACAGCTCACTGTCACCCGTCTTCTCTCGGCTCGCCTCAACAACCTTCGGAGGCAGCATTTCCATTGCCTCCTTTTGAAAAGGAGGAAAACGTGGCTCCTGGGGTCACAGGGTTGGTAAGAGACAGGGCTGGGGGCACTCAGCTTCTGACACCAGGTTCCCGCCTCTCTCCACTACATCTAAGAACTACCCTCTCTCTCAACTCCTCACACTGTCTCCTTCTCTCCACACCCCTTCAGACCCCTCTGCACCCCCCAAGATGGAGGCCACCACGTGGGAACCGCCTCAACTTCTAGCCCCCAAATCTACACACTCACCTGCGTCTCCCTACCTCCCACCCCGACCTGCCGAGACCAAGGCCTGCGCCTGGCTCTGGAGCCCTCCCCCCTCCTCTTGCACATTTGCTCTCCTCGCTACAGGTTCCGCTCCCAGAACACTGGGAAAATGAGCTCGTTTCTTTGCAAACAAAACGAAATTAAAGGACTTCTCCAGCCCTGCGGACCTCAGCCCATGGTGCGCTCTCCGCTCTCCTCCCTCCACAGTGGGCCTCTCTTACCTGCCACGCCCACCTCCCCTTCCAGCCCACCCAGTCTGGCTCCCACCTTCACCACGCCCGGCTGGCTCCCGGCAGGCTCTGCGATTTCCACCCATGAACCCTCAGCGTTCTCTGTCCCTGCGTCTTCGGACCTCCACGCAGCGCTGCACCTGCTGGCCGTCCGTCTCACACCCTCCATCCCTCGGGCCTCTGCACTCCACACGCTCCCGGTTGCGTCCAACCTGGCTGGCTGCTCTCCGTGTTTCCCCAGCTCCACGGGCCCTCCCAAGCCCTTGTCTCTTGCCACCCCAGGGCTCATCCTAGGTCCTGTACTCACTGTGATCCTGGGTGAGCTCATCAGTCCCACGGCTCCCAGTACCACCTCTGTGCCAACAATCACCACGTCCGTAGCTCTAGTCTACACTGCCCACCTAGACTCGCGGATCGCTCCATCCTGCTGGCCGTCTCTGAGTGGTTGTCATTCACGCACCTCAAGGGTGCCCTGCTCTCTACCTGAAACCACTCGTCCACTGGTGCTCCCTGTCTCAGAAAACGCAGTCATCCACCGGGCTGCCCAGGCCAGAGCCTGCTCGTCACCTTGGATGGCCCTCGCCATGTCCTGTCAGCTCTACTGTGCAAGGTTCAGGCTAAGATGGTATCTAGACTGGACAACTACAACAGCCTCTCTGCTCCTGTTCTTGTCCCCTCACCCATCCTCCCCACTGGGAGCAGAGTGACGGTTTAAAAATGCCCATCCCTCAGGGTCACGCATGCACTGAGGATGGAGTCCCCATCTTCAACATGGCCTACAAGCACCCGCAGCCTGGGCGGGCCCCTCTTTCTAGCTTCAGCTCTTGCCACCCTTCGTGAAGCGCCGCGCTCAGCAGCCTTCGCGCACGCAGCTCGCCTGGACTGGGTGGCTGCCTTCCTTTCCGCTGAGCTCCCCTTGGCGAGTTCTGACTCTTCCTTCAAGTCTCCGCCTCCAGGCTGCCTCCCCAGCAGGCAATCCCTCGGCTATCAGGTGAAATATCTCTACCACACACGTGGTCTATTTGCCTGCTCATGTCCTGGCCCACATCTCTTTGAAAATCTTTTTCAGTGAAACCCAGACACAGAAACCACACAGACGCGTGGCTTAATGAATTATTCTAAGGCAAACACCGCGCAACCAGCACCAAAGTTCACGCCTTAGAACTCTGCCAGCCGCCCCAGAGGCCCAGACAGGAGCCCCTCCCAGTCACGGCCCCCTCCCACCCCTGAAGTGACTACTCACCCAACTTTTATAATAATCACTTCCTTGCATTTAGAAATGTTTACATTTTTCTATTTTGGCAAAGCCCACTTGGAAGGGAGGGTTATCTTTTCAGTTATTCCTCGCCTTTTTAAGTGGGTTTTTTTCACCCGAATGTGCACCCCTAGGCACTACATGTTAGCCTTGGCCATTTCAGAAACTTTGACGTGTTATTTGAGTTTCTTTTGCTCTGCGCGTTTGCTGTCATTTCTTTCTTTTCCTTTCAGGTTTTCTGTGGAAGAGCACAGGCCATCTGACCTGTGCTGATTCCCACAGCCTGGATGGTGCTGTTTGCACACGCATGGTCCAGTTCAACACGCCCCTGTCCTGTGTGTGACCCACAAGTTGGCAGCTGGCACCAGAGACTCGACTGGACTCAGGTGGATCTCCTTGGTAAGACTACAGGGGGACGTAATGCCTGACGGTCTCTCTTCATGGGGACGGCAGCTACTGATGCATAAGGTGTCACCATTGGGGGTTGCAAACAGTGTCCTCTCATTCCCTTTTCATTTCACAATCAGGATGCTGTCACAGAGCGACGCTCGCCCTCAGCTACTGTTGGGTCGCCCAGTACTAAAGATCATACAGTTTGCCTCCTCTTTTTGGTAACAGCACCGGCTTTTCTCGCGGCGACCCGGACTTCCATAGTCTCAGTCCAAGAGGGTAAAAGGGGAGCTCAGCCACTTTCTGACTCCGGAAGTGGGCTCATCTTGCAAATCTGGTCAGGGAAAGCACCTCCCTCCTCAAACACAGGACTGGGTCAGGGACAGTCACGTGACCCCAGGCAGGCCAATGAAAACATTCCTTGGGACTTTTCCTGAAGTTTTTGGCAAAGAAGCACGCAACTTCCCCTGGTGTTGCTAAGCAGACTGAAAATAAGCTGCTGTGACCACTTTTGCCACTGCTCAAGGAAACCTTGCCTGAGAATGAAATAGTACAGAGGGAAGCAGAGCTGAGAGATGGGGAATAATTCCTGGTAGCATTATCTGGACACCTGGATGCAGCTGTGCCTGAAGGCTACCCCTTGGACTCTTGGTTTTGTGAGTTAAAAAAGAAAAAAACCCTTTTCAAAAGCCAGCTTGCAAATAAGAACTGATTAATATAATCCTCTTCTCTTTGCTCCCATAACCCTCTGAACCTCTCCTTTCTTAACCCTCAGCACACTGTAATTCCTTATTTCATATCCATCGCCTCCAAAAGACTGCAGTTTGGGGACAGCTCTGTGTCTACCTTGTTGGGCAATCTCTCTAGGAGCTCGACCATCCTGATACAAGCAGATGCTCATTTTAGAACTGGAGCACTGACAACCTTCTGACATCCAGTTAAACTCCTGTCCGTCTGGCAGCATCTCTCTCCCAGATGTGCAGGACACAGGACTCCCTCTGGCCACCACTGAGTCTGAAGGGTCCTGACGTAAGGCCCCATGACAGAAGGGCCCCCAGGCTGTGTTGAAAACGAGCCGCTGACCTGCTGAGTGAAGGGGCATTCCACTACGAAGTGCTTCTCAGGTGATAATAATCCAGGGGGCTGTAGGTCAGCTCTTTACCTCGTCAAGGCTTATTCTACTCCTGTCCTCCCATTTGTCCTCTCCACCACCTGCCTCCGTGGCCCAGTCTCGTCTCCAAAGTGATCCCAAGAATCTCTGGGTGAAGCTCCTGAGGTGGACAGACAGCTGGTTCCCCCACAGCCCTCGGACATCTGTTCTCATCCTTGTAAGTCATGGGGCTTGCTTCGGCCCTGCCTGATGGTAACACCCAGATGTGGGCATCGAGGCTGCTGGGCGACCTCCAGGGCTGGACAGCATTCCTCCCAAGTCGGCTGCCTTAGGCGCCCCCTGCCACTGTTATCACCAGGTTGCTGGGCCCAATGGCTAGCCCTCCGCGCAGGAACAGAAAAAGCTGTTATAAATGTCGGGTTGCTATGTTGTACACCTGGAGCTAACATAAGATTCTAAGTCAGCCATAAGTAAATTAAAAAAAGAAAGTTGCGATTTTCGGAACCCAGTCCACGAACCAGCAGAAGGGGCAGGGTCCTAGGAGCTGACTGTTCTCGGCCATGAGAACATTCTCGCTCCCCTGGTCCCAGCGTGCATGGCTGGGCCTGTGGCGGTGCTGATGGGCGCCTCAGCCTCGTACCTCCCCCTCGCCAATTCCCACTTCACTGGCAGGTGGGTCATCTGTTCTTGTGTCCCAACAAATGGAAATCAGTGGCCTGGCGGAGACCCAGCAAAAGATGGGGGGACACAAACCCCAAATGATTCACCTTCCGGGCTTTACTGACCAGAAACCCTTTCAATAAGGAGAATCTGCCCACAGGGGAAAGAAAAGCACTCCGGCGTAAGTTTCAGAATCACGTCAACCAGATGTCGCTCACTGCTTACTAATGCTGTGACCTCAGGCAAGTTGCTTAATCCCGCTAACCCTTAATTTCCTAATCTGTAAAATGGAGAGCTTAATGCCTACCTTGGAGGGCTGCTGGAAAGATTAAAGGAAATAATGCCAGCAGGTCCTTAACCCACAAATGCTCAGCCCTGTGACCAGCATGTGGTGAGCACCCACGAAACGGTAGCTGCCTTTATGATTGCTGTTATCGCCACCAGGAAGATTTGTCATCTTTCACCCTGTTGAAGCCAAGAGGCACTAAGGGACACGACACCCCCCGCTGCACGGGGGCCAGCGTCCGAAGTTCTGTGTCTCAGAAATGAGGCCGTACCTTCCGTTCCAAGTGCTTGTCCAGGCGGGCCAGAGCTTCCGTCTCTCCTCCTTGCCAAACGGCTGGGCCAAGGCCTTCCGTGGGGAACCCTACAAGAGGAGGAGCACGCCACAGGGGGGTCAGGCCATGCTGGTGACAGCTCAGCCAGTCCCAACACGCCGGCCTGTTCTCGAGTTCTGCGGGAACTGAACCGCACGTTCTCGGAGCTCCCAGGGCTGAGACCCTCCTCAACATTTCCACATTTTCTAGAGCCTCCTGGTTCTCTTTCCACTTTTTTTCTCTCCTTTCCCCTGTCTTCCCCTTCCCAGCTACTCCTCACTTCAGGCCAGTGAGGACATCCCTGCACTGCTTGCCCTTTCAGGTTAGCCAGCAACAACGGGGGTTTTCAGGGGAGAAAGGCTAAGTTTGGTCAGATAAAAAATGGGGGTTGGGGGCTGGCCCCGTGGCTGATTGGTTAAGTTCGCGTGCTCTGCTTTGGGGGCCCAGGGTTTCCCCAGTTCGGATCCTGGGCACGGACATGGCACCTCTCATCAAGTCACGCTGAGGCGGCGTCCCAAAAGCCACAATTAGAAGGACCCACAACTAAAAATATACAACTATGTGCTAGGGGAATTTGGGGAGAAGAATAAGAAGAAAAAAGAAAGATTGGCAACAGATGTTAGCTCAGGGCCAATCTAAAATAAAGGGGGGTTGGCGGGAGGAAGGGAAGGAACCCATGAGGCTGACCCCCCCTTTCAACAGAAGCAATACTCGTTATCCTGTACGGAGGACCCCAGTGAAGCCAGCCCCAGGCTGTGCCTCTATCGTCTGAGAGGGCAAAGTACAAAAAGAGGCATGAACTGGAAACAGAAGATGACGGACATGGGTGTGAACAGAAAAAAGACCCAAAGGACATACTCCGAAGGCGACAGTGCTTATCTTGGGGGCGGGGGAGGGTGGTAATAGTGATTGTTATTTCCATTTTTGTCTCTCTGTATTTTCTAAACTGTCCGAAATGACTTGCATTACTTTGACAAAGAAGGAAAAACACGCAGAGTTATTTCACAGAAAGGAGGGGCCATGAGAGGCTCGGGGCAGGAAGTACGCACCCAGCTCCTCCAAGGAGGGCACGCCGTAGGTTTCGTCGTGGTTCTCCTGGATATCGGCCCTGCAGCTCTCCATCTGCTGGCTGGTCACCGAGCCCACGGGCTTCCTGGGCAGCTCCATGCGGCTGATGATGGCCTGGAAGCGCTTGTAGGTAAGGGGTGGCTTCTGCCCGTTCAGCTCAATGATCCTGGGAACCCAGAGCACACCTGACGTCACCCCCGAGACCCTTCATTCCAGGTCCCCGTCCACCCAGAGAAGAGCCCGGACATCGAAGGCTTGGGGGGTGGCCTTCCTCATCCGTCCGTCAGGATCCCACCTCGAGGTGGAAAGGAGGGGGCACCGGAGGCTCCATCACCATTTTACCCGGAGGGAAAATGAAGCCCAGAGAGCCGGAGCGGGTGCCTCAGGCAATGGAGCGAGGCAGGGCCAAAGCTGGGACTCAGCTCCAGGCTCCTGGGCCTCGTGGAGCCGCCTCAGACAGAGACGGAGCATCTCTTTCGAATCGCAGAAAACCCCTCCTGGCGTTCTTGGTGCTCGACCCGTCTGTCCAAGCTCAGGACTTCGTGGACCTTCCCCTCGAGGCCAGCCTAAGCCTTGAGGAGGTCCTGTGATAGGAGCCACCAACATGTTCCTTTGCTGGAAAACCCTTCCCTTCTTGGCCCTTATTTATGGGAAGAGAGAGGGAGAACAGACTATCCTCCTTAAATCAGAGACTGGGGCCGGGTTAAGAGCAACGTCTAATACTCACAGGATGTTTTGCAGTTTATAAAGTATTTTTTCATGAGCAAGGGAAACATAGCTGCACTCAGGTAAGAAGAAAAGGTAGAGGAGAGCAAGGAGGGGAAACGAGGCTGTTTATCTAATGACGAACTGGGATGGTCGGAGCCAGACTGGCAGGGCTCTTCGGCCAGGAAGCGGCTTACGCAAGACCGGGCTGGCTGCGTGCGTTCATTTCTCACTCCGGCTCTCACTCTGCCGCATCAGTGGAGGCAGGAGGTTGGCTGTGGCCCCTGCAGGACCTCCCCCTCCTCCGGCACGTGGCAGGGGGAGGGGCTCCACACCAAGCGTCTGCTCCTGAGCGCCTGGCTGGGCTCACGTGCGGAGCTGTGTGACCTGGCCTCCTGGCAGCCACCACTGGGCTGGGGAGAGGGGGCAGGGCGCAGCGGTGGCTGCTGGCCTGGCAGCAGCAGGAGGGGGACAGTTCTGCCAGGGAGGGGAGGAGGGGGCTCCTCCTCGATGCTCTGAAAGCACAGGGGCCTGTCCCCAGAGCGAGAGGCTAGTCTGCACACTCAGCTCCCCACAGGGGTCTCCAGAGGCTTTTGAGCAATAGCTGCATGCATGGCCTGGAAACCCAGATGGCCAGGGGAGCCTGGGGACTCAGATAAGGTACAGAAACTCGGCCTGAGAACAGAGATCTGCTGGGAGGGGTAACAGACAGGGCCCGCCGAGGTCGGAGGGCAGCCTTGAGCAGGACGGAAGTGGGGGTCCGAGGAATGCATGCGACCGGGCATCTCAGGAACAGATCCTTGGAGATCTTGAGTGGGGCTCCACTGCGTCCACCCCTCAGGCCCAGCAAGCCCCTCTGCCCCCAAATAGGGGACAGCTCTTTGAGACTCGGACCCATTCTCCTCCAGCTTCTAGAAAGTGCCACAGTTCATGTGCCAGGCGGCCCTATTTCTGAACCTCCCTGAGTTCCGCTCAGCAGGGCCCAAGTCACCATCTTCCACAATTGGCAACTTGGCCCCTGGGGCCCATCTCACCTGTCCAGGTCATAGAGAGTGTGCGAGTTCTCTGTCACCACCTCCACACCAGCCTCCTTGGCCATCTTCATGATGGCTGCGTCCCGTTCTTTCCCAAAGGGTTCGGAGTCATATTCGAAGGTCAAGCGGGTCACCCCCCATTCCTGCGGGGAGAGAATCTGTTACGCTGAGCACTGTCTGGGGCTGAGGGGAAGCTGGGCACTCAGTTCTGGGAGGGACAGAGCGGGTCCAGAGACCTGTCAGAATGGGCTGCAGAGCAAACAGGGATCTGATCGGAGGCTCACAAGTCTGAGGAGGGCAGGCCTCTGAGGGGAGGCCAACAGCATGGTAACAGCGCAGCCCGAGGCCAGTGGTCTCGGTGGAGTCAGGAGAGAGGTGGGCAGCCCTGGGCACCTGCTGTGTCCCTGAGGCAGGAGGATGCAGCAGGCTATAAATACAACACTCCCAGCGGTGCCCCCAGGCCCTGGAAGCTGCACTGACTGGCGGGTGGAGACAGCGGGGGGCACAGGAGCGCCACCTCCCGCCTGCTCCGCCGGCTTTCCCAGAGCTCCTCACGCACTGCAAACTTCTGGCCTAGTTTTCCTGGCAGGCTTGTGCTGTGTGAAGTGTCCTAATGGTTTCCACGGCAACACCCCTGAGGCCAGCAACACACAGAGCTAAGAGGCTCCAGCTCTGAGAGCGTCAGGGAAGGAGGAGCAATTCTTAGTCCAGAGGACAGAGAAATGAGACCAGAGGGACCACATCTTAAAAAAGAAGGGAATTCTCTTCCAAGCCTTTTGTCATTTCTAGTAGAAACTTCTAGATTTCCTAGCCGGCCCAGAAAAAGCTTGTACAGATAACCCGCAGAAAGCCCTAGAGCATGCAACTAGCAAGAAGAAAACTACATTCCAACCGAAGTCTCTGGTCATGGTCCCTTAGACTCTGCACCCTCAGGACAAATGTCCTGGGCTTGCACAGGCTGCTCTGGTCCTGACTGGACCCCACCTGGGGTATGGGTCCTGAGCAGGGCTCGTCACCGCTCATCCGAGGATCACAGCGCGAAACACTGACCAAGCCCTTTCTATGAGCGAGAAGTAGGCTTAGTGGTTCGGAGAGACCACACCGTTAAACACTCCTAACTCTGTGAATAATGATAAGCGTGCTATTAGATGACACCATCTCCAAGAAGCCTTCCTTGACCGCTCCTTCAAAATGATTCTCCTGTGCCTCGCCCTTTTTCTGGCACAGCATTTATCACATGGCAGTGAAGTTGCCAGGACTCGCCTGCTTCCCACATTAGTGTGAACTCTCAGAGCAGAAACTATGCCGTATTTCCTCCATTTACCCTAGTAGCCAGCATGGGGCCTGGTGCCCTGCAGAATCTCAATAAACACGCCCTGGTGACTATCCGCATCTCAGGGGGTTGGCCTCCGAGGTGCTGGGAGAGGGGAATGAGGCAGAAGGAGAAGAGAGCGACGGCGTTTAATGGTGCGGTGCTGAGGAACACAACTCTGGAGGCAGAGAGCCTGCGCTCGGATCTTAGGCCACCACTAAGCTTCGCGACCCCGGGAAAGTCGAGGTCCCCCATCTGCAGAACAGCGACAGCAGCTCTCCCTTTGTGAGTCACGCAGTGCTCCAACACAGGCAGCCTCCACAAGCCCGGCTGTGCTCAGCATGTGCGAGCCATACGCGTGCGCACGTCCATGGGCAGGGGACGTGAAGGAGGAAGGGTTTACTGAGCCACTGGCCTTGACGTGAGAGCTCTCCTGCTGTCTGTGCCCCCAGGAAGCGCAGGGCAGGCAGTCGGGGTGGAGACGGGCAGGAGAGCCACCGTGCGCCGCTGAGGAGGAGGACACAGTGTCCCTGAGCCTCTGTCCACGAGGACCTGTGCCTCTGTGTGGGCCTTGACGAGTGCTTTATAAAGGGGCTGGGGGGAAAGTGGGCTGGCTACCCGATACAGCAGAGAGGTCGATGTGGCACCCAAAGGAAGATTTTATCAGTCATCGACCCCTGGGGAAGCAGGGAAGTTCCCACAGAAAGGCTGACTTCTCCCCAATAAGTAGAGCAAAGCAAGACAGAAACGCCCCCTGCTAAACAGGAAACCTCGCCCTCAAACTCCTGGCACGGGAGAACCCTCATAAACTTGGCTGGCTTGAGCCAAGAAAACATCTAAGGAAGCCAGTGGCAGCCGGGGTGGAATAAGTTGCCACATCCCACGTCTGGACGGAGCTGGGAACTTTCCAACATGACACCGGTTTCAGAGAATGTTTCCCTTAACACAGTTGCCATTTGGTCAGCAACCTGACTGGCGGCCGTTGCCCCCACTTCTCTGGCAGCAGGAGTCAGCCCACCTGACCGTCCCCATGTCCTCAGGCAGAATACCACCTCAGGCAGTCTGCGCTCAGACTCCGCATGCTTACCTTGAAGAGCCTCGGAAACACGTCAGCCGGCTGGCCCCGGACCACAAACAGGCGGGAGTTCAGCTTCCGTAAGCTGGTGTCCAGATCTTCCAGAGACTGAAGCAGGAACCTGCAAAGCCCACGCAGGCCTGGTGAGGGGTAACGTCATCAAGAGTCGCTCTCTTTCCTAACAAAGCAGGGAGAAGCTGGCACACTCATTATGCAAAACAAGTCGCATCATTAGTCCCAGACTGGAGGGGCCTGGGTTCTAGTCCAGGCGTGACACGGTATGGGATCAGCGATGCCTCTGCTGAAATCCTGGCCTTGCCACATGACTTCAGGCAGCTACTTAACCGCTTTAGCTTTTTTTTTCTAACCTATAATGTGGAGCTGATGTTAGTACCTATCTCACGGAATTGCCAAGAAAAGGGAATCAAACATGGCATGAAACACTCAGGACAGGGCCTGGCAGAGAACACCTGGGGTAAATGCGAGCCGCGCCTCCTCCTCTTGTCCCTCTGTGATCAGACGCCATGTCACTTACTCGCTCTCAGCCTCAGGCCCTGCGTGTAAATATCCGCCCAACACAAGGTTGTTGCGAGAATCAAAAAGCAGGTCAGACGAGGAAGCCACCGGAACACCAAGTGCAACAGTGTGGTAGGGAAGCCTGGGGCCTATCAGCAGAGGAGCAAGACTGCCACCTCCTGGGAGACCCTCCCTGCGCTGGTCCCCTCCGCACTCACGCTCTGCACTGCATGTGTGTCCACGGCCACAGCGTGGCCTGGGTCCCCAGTTCCCGGGGTTTCCTTTGGCAGGTGGCTCATACTCCAGGCCTCGGGCCACCAGGTTCTCATCCCAAGAGAAAGAAGGCCTTAGAAGGTTCTTTCCTAGAGGATATCCTCACATGCTTTTGGGGGTGGGGGGACTCCAGACACCCAAGAGGCCTCACCTGAGAGCTGGATCAGCATGGGAAAGGGAAAGGAAACCAGCACGTGCTGAGTGTGTTTCGTGTGTTGTTTTGGTTTTTATATGAGCACAAAAATTGACTAACTGCTCAGTTAGGCATAATGGCCTTTCCGAGAAATTCCATCCATACGTTTTACGACATGTGTTTTACTTTTAAATTAAGTGAAATTAACATTTTAAACAGATAACTACTCATGTGGTTCAAAATTCAAGTTACAAAAGTGTCCACGGTAAGAAGTCTCCTTCCTGTGGGTCCCCAGGAATGAACTCCCCTCCCCAGAGGCACCAATGTTATCTGCTTCTTAAGTGCGTCTTCTTTTGAATTCTCTCAACACAGTGGAAGGAAATATTACCCTCATTTGATAGATGAGGAAAATGAGACACAGAGAGGATAATTAATATGTCTAAGATCATAGCCAGGAAGCGACAAAGCTGGGATAGGAATCGAGGTCGGTCAGACTCTGAAACCATGTTCTTTGCTCTGTGCCCCATTTCTAAAGCCGTTTAGTGGCACGTCACACACTGCTCTGGGGCTGAGATTCTGCAGGACCTCATGTGTCTGGAATCCCTCTCTGACAAACACAGCCCTCACTACTGGCAATCCAGTGACATTCTGATCTCCTTCCTCAGGAACTAAGCCCAGATAGGCCAGCCTCCTTCAGATCCGTTCTGCTACCCACGCTTTGGCGTCTCCCACCCGTCTCTGTCCACAACGGGAATCGCCAGATTTTATCTGGAGCACAGTGAACCCCTGTGCCTCCTCTGCAGCCCATCACTTCCCTGACCACTGGAGGCTCACAGCTGTTCCCAGGCTGCCAACTGGAACCAGCCCCCGCCGCTGCTCTGACGTGCACAACAGGCCACTCCCACGCGGCAGCCGCAGCCACATTCCAGCCTGGAGCCCAAGCAGTGTGAGAGCTCAGAGCACACAGGACCCCTCCAAGAGGCTGTGGCGACAGGCTCTGCTCTGACAGGCTGAGCGCCGCTTTGCTCAAGCCAAAGGCTCTGCCTCTGTGCATTTCTGTTTTTGAAAAACCAACACCTCGTTAAAGGAAAGCTGAGACGTGAGTGACGCACTTGCGCTGGCCTCCTCCCAGGCCTCACCACTCCTCTCCAGAGGAAAAGAAGAGACGCCCATGCCGCCTGAATAAATAGCCTCATGCCACCTGAAACCTGGACCCTGCCAGCTAGAGAGTGCCTAGAGATAACTGGCGACCTAAATCCACAAGCCCAGGACAGAGGGCCCGCTCTGCGGCTCGCAGGAATGTCTGTGCCACGCATTTGGGGGGCCTCCTTTTTCACAGGCCTCCAGGCTGCGCAGGACTTCAATTTGAAGCTATACATACCCCCATATATACACGCACACGAAAGCTAGGTTCCAGCTGCCTTCCACAGAACCTGACTTCTAGACCTCACGTACTAACAGGAGAGATTTCTTGCAGCATTCCTGGAGGACAGCTAACTCCATGAGAGCCCTTTATTTCTCTGACAACAGATGTCTACAGTTGAGGAAGCGAGTGGAAGGCCCAACTTGGACCTCAGCAACCAAATAAGGACAAGAATAGCAACAACTATCATTTAATGAATACTTGCAAGGAACCAGGCCCTGTTCTACTCGTTTTACATACATTACTTCATTTAATTCTCAAACAGCCCTAGGAAGTAAATACTGTTATTATTCCCATTTTACAGATGAGAAAACTGAGGCACAGAGGGATTAAGTGATTTGCCCAACATCATACACCTAATAAGTGGCCAGAATTCAACCCCAGGCAGCGTGGCTCAGTGACTGCTGCTTTTTTTTTTTTTTTTTTTTTTTTGGTGAGGAAGATTGGCCCTGAGCTAACACCTCTTGCCAATCTTTTTTTTTTTCCCTCCCTAAAGCCCCAGTACATAGTTGTATATCTTAGTTGCAAGTCATCTAGTTCTTCTATGTGGGACGCTGCCACAGCACGGCTTGATGGGCGGTGTAAGGGTCTGCGCCCAGGATCTGAAGTGGTGAACCCCAGGCCGCTGAAGTGGAGTGCACGAACTTAACACTCAGCCACAGGGCTGGCCCCCTCAGCGACTGCATCCTTAACCACCAGGCCCCCCTGCCTCTCCATCAGGACTCCCTGAGGCTATACTGCTGGGGACTCGGCCATCAGGGAGACCACAGCCCAAACCAAAGGCCAACACCTCTGCCACCAGATCCCTGCTCCTCTGAGGCTCAACAGCTGAGTCACCCAGAAGCTCGCTGGAATGCAGAGTCCCAGGCTCCAGCCCAGGTGACAGCTTTGCATAACACCAGAGGAACGGGCATAGAGCTGCTCCTGGGCAAACGCTCACCTGGGCAGGTGTGTGCACTCTGTCACAGACAGCACCCTGGGCCTGCTGCTCCCTCACAGGCCTCCTCTCCACGTGGCCAGCTTCTCTTTACTCCAATGAGGGGGACTCTAAAAGCACCAGAGGCGGCAGCGTTTGGGGCCCGCGGTCCCCCTGGGCAGCTCCGAGCTGTGCTCACATGGCCGAAATCCAGAGCACACGGTCCTGGGGGAGCACTTAAAGCTCCCCCCTTGGATGAGACGACATGAGCAACTGAATTACATTACGTAAGTGCTCTGGAGCCAGAGGCAGACAGCACTGGAGAAAACCAAATTGGGGTTTCCAAAAATACAGAAAGGACTCTGTAGTTCGGGGACTCCACGGGGCTAGCCCTTTAGAATAAGAGCCTCTGCTTAAGAAGACAAGCAGATTTTCAGGGAGCTCTTCTCTAGAGACGGCAGGCCCTGTCTTCAGGAATATTTTGTTCATTTGTTGTTAACAGGGGGAGGGAAGAGGATAGTGAACTCTTTCTTTGGGTCCAGACTGCCCTTGACCAAGTTTCTCTGCTTCGAGCCAAGGTCATCTAACTATAATGATGATATCATAGGCCAGCCCAGACTGGCTACGTAGGACATTAATAGAACTTAATTTCTCCTAAGTAATTAAGAGAGTTAAAGGCCCATGAAAAAGGGTAACCCAAACCCACAACCCATACGAGGATTGTCCTCGAAGCATCACTCAGATAAAAATATATTTGTTCTTTCCTGATTTCAAAGAGAAAGATGAAAATGAAGGTTTCGTCCCTTTGGGGCAAATGGAAACACTTCCTTTGCAGCCTAATAGTAAAGCGATTCGCGAGGGGACCAGCGTGAACAGCTCAGAGAAATTCTCGATTGTTCTCAATCCCCTTCTTGCTGACCAAGTTCTAGAGAAGAACCACCCACATCCAGAGTCCAAAAGTGTTTAGCTCCCTGCATTGGGAAGAGACACACTTCTCTCCAGGCATCCTGGGGGTTCCCGGTTCACCTCATTCATTAATTCTGAGCCATTCAGGCTGATATTTTATTTCTACCAACTCCCTCTGTCCTGGAAGCTCCTGAATGCAGGTGCAGCATGCAGCCAGGGAGAAAATGATGTAAAAAAAAGGTGAGGGGAATTGTCGCCAATCCCCACCTACGTTGCGCAGAGAAAGAAAGGTAACAACAAACCACAAGGGTCTATTTCGAGTACCCATTCTTAAATCTAGAAGTCGCTCATATCCCCTCTTTTAAAATTTTTTTGCTTCTCACTGAAGTACCTCTTTCTGGATGCACCAAATTTGAGAAGGTGGGGCTGGGGAAAATGACGAAGGGCGGAGCCGACAAGCGCTTGACAAAAAAATCCTGAGGTTCCTACAGCTACACCCAGCCCACTGACTTCCCACCACCGCCCAGGCAAGGAGAATGCCAGCCCCTCTCCTGTGCTAATAAATATCCATCTTTCTTAGTTGCCTTTCTCTGTCCTCTTTTACTCTTAGAAAGTGCCATTCATGGTTATTTTAATCTGATTCATCTGCCAAAAAATGCTGTGCGGGAGTCAGTGTAGGAAGCGCAGGAGGCTAACAGAGATGACAGATTTTGATTCCTCCCACCTCCTGCAGATGGCCCGGGCCCACCCTTCCTGGGGAGGCTTCTCAGCGGCAGAAGCTAGGACATTATGCAGCAGCACAGTTGTCCCAGATCACCTCCAGATCCAGAAACAGCCACCGGAAGATTACACATAGTACAGTTACACAGCGGTGCGGCTGGCTCCATCACTGCCCCCAGCCGAGCGCGTACAACAGTCTGCCGCTCTGCCCTCGGTCCAATCAAAGCAGCAAGGAGGATGGTGGGGGTGGTAGGAGCGTGTCTATTTCCAGGCCCCGAGCGGTTATTGTATTCGATCTGTTTTGTGTTATTTCGCTTCTTTCTTCTGAATGCCAAAACTCATTAGACTTCCCGCCAATGCACAGCAACACATTTTCCAAGCTGTCGCGCTCAGGTCTGCGGTTGTCTGCTCCTGCGCTCCTCAGGCTTTGCTGGACCCGAGAGCTTTTCAAAACCCTCATGCCCAGGCCTTAACCCAGAACCATTAAATCAGAACTGGGGGAGGTGGGGACCCAGACATCTTTTAAAGATCCTTAAGTGACTCCTAGGCAGCAAGAGTGAGAACCGCTGCTCTAGCCCTTCCCCCTATTTTATTTATTTCCTGGCCCTTGTGCTAAATTATGGTTGTTTACTTGTCTTCCTCCACTAAAATGCAGGCTCTGGGAGTTCTGGACCCTGCCAAGCGGCCCCTCCAGCAACATCTGGCAGATATTAAGCACTCATTAAATAAGTGCTCAATTAAAATCTGCATTCCTACCAGCCTCTGACCTCAGGATTTGACTCAGGCATCTAAGCCGCCACATTCCTTTTCTCCTTCCCTCGCTCGAAAGCACAGTCACAAAAGCGTGACCCATAAAAATCCATAAACACCTCTCCCTAGCAAATCGGAGTTTAATCAGCAATAGAGTTTTTGTTGTTGATTTTTAATCTCTGCTACCACAAAGGAGTGGGCAGTCCCATGAGATGTTCCCCAAAACCCACTAAGAGAAGAAACTCCTTGGTGACAATCTAATAAGCCGATAGTCTGATCTATTTACTCTTCTCTGATTGGCCCGCTGACATAAAGAGAGGGGCAAAGTCTGAGGCTCGGTTTAATGTTTCTGCTAGGGATGGTCATTTAAGGATGTTTGTCAAACCCAACCTCCTATCTATAGAAACTAGAGCAGAGACAGAGCACTCAAGCCACCCGCTGTGTGGGCAGGCTCTCCACAGGGCTATCTTTAGTTGTTCCCTCTACATAAATGGGGCAGGAGGGGGCATTTCACAGACCCACTGCTGGAGCACTCGCTCTCCCAGCAGGGCACACACCTCGGAGAGGCAAGATCGGTGTGCGGACAGCCGCTGTATCCTGGGAATAACCCAGACCCACGCAGCAAGGCCCCAGCAAACAACCCGGAGAACAATGCAAACAAACCGAAAGACGACTGTGGGGTGTTTTAACGAGAGATGGGTACACGACGTCTCAGAACGCCTTGGTTTTAAACACTGAGTACAGAGAAAATACATCAACTCCGTATCTGTGAATCCTTTCCCACGATCCTGTCGACCCCACCTCCCAGGAGTCATCAACGAGGGGACCTTGATATCACAGCTTTCCTGCTCCCAGACCTTTGCACATCAGTTGACAAAAGTCTAATCTATGATGGCTCAACTGTCCTTTAAAGTCACTCTCATGAGCAGGGGAGGAAGGAAGTGACACTTTGGTTCCTTTTTTTTTTCCTAGCAAGCTCACTGCTGCTGAGGGAATTCTCCAAAATGGGTCAGTCCTGCTCTGGAGCTCAGGACACAAGGTGCCTGGAGCCGAACACGGCCTTGGGGTCTTTATCTGGAATACACGGAAGATGGCACTTGCCTTCTTAGCAAAGCTAAGCCACAGTCTCTGGACACCTCCAGAGGCAGGACAGTCCCGGTGGAGGGGAAGTCGGGATGGGTGAAGAGATGGATTCAAACAAACCAGAGGCTTAGACATGACCTTCAGGAGCCAGCAATGGGCTGTTTCCTCGAAGACTGCAAGCATCCGCTGTGCCATGGATTCAGAAACCCGTCCCTGCCCTCACCCCGCCAAATCGCCTTTCCTCCGCGCCCTGAGCGCACCCCTAACCCTGGACCAGGAGTCCCTGGTCTGCCACCCACTGGCCGCAGGCCCTGGGACAGCTCAACGCGGTGTCTCCAGGGCTCAAGAGTCATCTGTACAGTGGGGATCATGATCTTTGTCCCCGGAATGTTGTGAGGCCCAGAGGGGACAGAACGGGGCGGAAGCGCGTGGTCAGAAGCCGGGCCCCGGGTCCCCAGGCCATTGGCACGATGACTAACTGCTTCCGCGTCCGGCTTCTCCCCTCTGGGGACCCTGCTGGGTCTCCCTGCTCGGCCACCCCAGGCCCGGGTCTTCTGGCCGTAGGGACGGGGGGCAGAGCGCCCCCTCTGGGTCCGGGGAACCGGGCTGTCCGCCGGGCGCCCCGAGGCCCGCCTGCCTCCCCGGGCCCGCGCCCCCGCCCCGGAGCGCTCACCTCCACCGGTTGATCCCGACCGAGGAGGAGGCCGCGAACCAGGGGTCGAGGATGTAAACGCAGCGCACGCAGCGCGCCCCGCGCACGGCCGCTAGCAGCGCCGGGTTGTCGTGCAGCCGCAGCCCCTTCCGGAACCAGTGCACCGAAGAGGCGCCCTCCGCGCCCGCCGCCGCCGCCGCCGCCGCAGGGGCCGCCGCTGCCGCCGTCACCGCCGCCGCCGCCGCCATCACCGCCCGGACTGCTGGGCCGCCGCGGCTCCGCCCCCGTCTGCGCCGCGGGCCCCGCCCCCAGCCCGCCCAGTGACCTATGACGCCGCCGCTCCTCCCGCTGGCCCCGCCCCCAGGCCCCCGGAGCGCTTCTGCCATTGGCTGGGCGCCTCCCGCCTGGCGATTGGCCTAGGGGCGCCGAGTCCGACCCCGCCCCCTCACGTTCCCACCATGTGTCGGGCGACCAGGAGGAGCCCGCGGGCGGGGCGGGTGACGCAGGCTGGCCGTCCCCGAGGAGGGCTGGGCGTGGACCGAGTCTCGGGGGACACCGGATCTCTTACACGCGTCCTGTTCAAGGCCTGCCGCTGGAAGCGACTGCCTGAGCTGGTGGCGCTTGCTGTGACTCCAGCCAGTGACTTACAGGACTGACAACCGGCCTTTGCACATCTCCATTCTCCTCCTCCTCTGCCTCAGCCTATGACATCATCTACAACATTCTACTACAGCTACCATTTATTGAGTGCATTTTATATGCCAAGCAAAGTGATAATCTCCTTACACAGACTGTCTCATTTACCGTTCTCAACTCAGCCCAGTTGGGTTCCTTCAAAAACCCCAGTGAAAGAGCTGTTTACTCTCATTTTACAGAGGAAGAAAACTCTGAGGCTGCCGCAGGTTGAGTGACTTGCTCAATAAGCTAATAAGCTGATAAGAGGATTCCACTCAGATTATTCTGATTCCGAATTTTCTGCTTTTATCCACAAAGCTATACTTCTCTTTGAGCTGCGCAACTTGACATTTTCAAGCGGCAGAGTCTCGGGGGAGAAGGGCCCTGATGAGCAGCCGTAGAGGGGTTGGGAGTAGGGACTGGGACTGTGGAGGACGTGGGTTGAGATAGTAAGTATGCCACGAGATGAACTTATTTCCTTTTAGTTCCATGTTTAGTAGACCCAGTGGTGCTCTTGTGCACAAAGCACTGTAGTGGATTTGGTGCAGGACTCAGAGATGTGGAGGACACTGTCCCCACTCCTTCCCCGGGGAAGCAGGTGGAGCCCTCTTATTCTCCTTATTCTAGAGCCTAGCACAGGTCTTGCTGATTGACCGGTTGACTGAATGGCAAGAGAACCGTATGAACACCCATAACAAGGTGTTGACGGCGGGTTAGGATGGCCTAGTGGGGTGGGGCTCTGCAGTTATCAAGGGAAGAGTCTGTTTCAGTTTGGCCCTAGGCTGGGCCCATGCTCGCAACCCTTCCTGAACTTGGGAATGAGAAATGAAGGAATTTAGCACTTTAGTGGCATTAGTTGGCACCACGCTATAAATCAGAGCGTCATCGCAATCCTAGGTTCTCCCATTTCCAGAGCTTTGCACAAACTGCTCCCTCAAGCCTGGATCACACTCCCTACCTCACCCCCTTTGTAACTCCAGTTTGTCCTGTGTCACTGCTCAGTATAGATGTCACTTTCCGGCTGTCTGGTCCCAGCCTGCATACTGCCTCATCTCGTTCTGTGCTTCTTGTCACTGTCGTTTGTACATGGTACTAGAATTTCTTACTTGTCTGTCTGCCGTTAGACTATAAACTCCTGGAGGGCAGGGGCCATGGCTTATTTATAGTTGTATTTTCAGGATCTAGCTCAGTGCGTGCACTTGGTGCTGGAGGATATTCGAGTAAAAGTTGGACGGGAACTAGAGTCTTAGGTTAGAAGGAACCACTTGAGTCTATCCCAGCGATGAAAATAATAAGAATAGTAAGTTTTTATGTATTGAGGTATATGGGGAAGGCATTCTGGGTTAAATGTGATTGAACCTGAAACTTGTTTTTCCCGGAGCAGCCTGACTTGTGGCCACCAAACAGGTATTGTACATCTGCTTCAAACATTGTCCCAAAGCAAAGAAGGCACTCTTTAAAGATGGGGATGAATGTCTCCCTTTCCTGATGCCAGTACCAGCACTTCTTTGAAGATAAGCTCTTTTTCCCAGAGAACCAAGGTCAAGTTGACCTGCTGTGTATGTGCTAAACTGGCAAAACATCTCCTTGTGACTTTGGCAAAAAAACTGTATTCCTGACATGCTTGATGTGTGTTCTTTGTTCTGAAACGGTATATAACCACACTATAAACCACGCTTCCCCAGAGGGCTTTCTTCCCTGGGGAAGCGAGACCTTCAGGGCCAGTCCTCACATTAGCTCATTAAATAAATATCTTTCTTACTGATGGATCGGTAATTATTATTTGCATCGACACCAGTCCTGATCCTGTCCTCCTTTTTGAATCTCCTCTCCAAATGCTTGCTGAATGAATAGATGCCACCTCCCATTACTTTTCTTTTGGGACTTTGTGTTCCTCCCTCTCTTATCGCATCTTCTCTCCACAAGGTGGATGCTCCACTAGGGATGGAGCAGAGAATGTAAGCAACGGTTCTCCTCTGTAGCCTCAAAGATGGGTAGTCTCCTTTTTTCCTCTGAACTCCTGTGATGCTTTCTTTATGGACTGGGAGCTCCTGGAAGGCAGGAATTGTGCTCATCAGTGTGCTCCCAATGTTATCTAGCTCATCAGTGTATTCCTAGCATCTAGTTTGGTACCTGACATGTAGTAGATGCTCAATAAATATTTGCTGAATAATTGAATGTTATTTATCTCTTTCTGTCTTACGCTATCACGACAGGCAGTGTGGTATAGTGGTTAAGCCCAAGGTTCTTGCACATTTGGAGTGGCTGTGTTCAAATTCTAGTTCTGCTTTTACTCTGTGTGACCCTGGGTAAGTTAGTTGACGTCTCTGTTCCCCACTTTCTTAACCTACGCAAGAGGGATGATAATAGTAGCTAGGATATAGTAAGCATTTAATAAGCATCAGCTACTATTATTCTAAATAGCAGGATCTGTGTCTGCTTTGTCTTCCTTGCAACATCTCGCCCTCGGTCTTACACATAATAAATGCTCCATAAGTTGCTAAGTGAATAGAAGATTTTAATCAGTTTTAAAAAATCTTCAAAATTATACCAATAATTAAAAACAAAGAGAAGTAATCACCATCAATCCTCCAAACCAAACAAATCCATTATTTATTTTTTTTTTTTTGAGGAAGATTGGCCCTGAGCTAACATCCGTGCCCATCTTCCTCTACTTTGTATGTGGGATGCCTACCACAGCATGGCTTGCCAAGCGAGGCCATGTCCGCATCCGGGATCTGAACTGGTGAACCCCAGGCCGCCAAAGCAGAACGTGTGAACTTATCCACTGCGCCACTGGGCCAGCCCCACAAATCCATTATTTTTTACCTTCATGTTGCTCTCCTGACTTTGTCCATAGCATCTTTTTACAGCTTTAATCAAAGCAGAGGCACAGGGTTGGACTGGTTTTTTTAACAAAATATTAAGCATATTCTTTCTTCTATGTCACTGTCTTTGTGTTTGTTATTTTAATGACTTTATAATCCTTTGTCAGATTTGTTTTATCGAATGATTGCATATTGCTTGGGTATATTAACAGGGAACATTCCAGAATCACGAAGTGAATCTGGCACTGGATAGAACACTGGAGTGCAAAGTCCACTTTGGGACTTTACATTTTAAAAGGGACGTAGGGATATCGGAGAGAGACCAAAGAAACCTGTAAATTGCTAAGAGGTGACATGTAATCGTGTACTATTACATCTTTGAGAGAAATGGGAACTGAGATTTGACCTCATGGCTCTAGACCTCATTACGTACAAGCGTCTCTGAAGAGTGGCGGCCGTGAGGATGCCGACAGTTGTTCCCCGTTTCCACTTCCGGTAGAACAACAGAATCTAGCAGAAAACAGAAAACAGCGAGAGGTTTAAGGAGGGGCTTGTACCCAGTGGTTTAGGAAGGAGACAAATTAGCCAGGTGGTGGCAGGTATCTTTCTTCGCTGAAGATATTTAGGAAGACTGAGGTCAGTCCTGGTTTGTCTTTTTGTCACCGTCCCGCGTGGGGGCGGGAGGAGGCAGCTCTCCACGTCCCCCTTGAACTGCGCTTTGGGTAAATAGTTGATGACTGGTTGCCAGGCAACCAGGGCGGGCGGGCGGGACGGCCCCGCGAGTCTAAGTTGCCGCGCCCTCTCGTGGCGGGACTGGGAAAGAAGCCGGCTCCGTTTGGGGCTGAGCCGGGAGCGCCAGGGCCCCAGCCTTCTGCTTTTAGGTATGGGACCTACGCGGTGTGCGGCTCCGGCTCTCCTATTTGCAAGACTTCGTGCAAAGCCCGCTTGCATATTTGTCCTTTGAACTGTTCAGCTTGAGAAACCGTAAAACTGGTTGAGGGCATAGACCCAGAAGCCACACTCCTTAGGTTCCAATTCCCACTCTGTCGTTAACTAGCAAATGACTTGGGTAAGTTACTGAGTCTCTCTGTGCCTCAGTTTCCTCATTTGTAAAATAGAGATGATGATGATGATGACGATGGTAATACAGGTGCAGCATGGAATTGGAGCAAGATAGACAAAAGTCTCAGAATGGGGCATCGAGAAACAGACCCTCATGGATCTGATATTTATTCATGATAAAGACGTCTTTGTGAAGAAGTGGGTTAAAGGTGGTTTTTCCTATCATGGAAATGGGTCAATCAGATATCCCGACGCAAAAAAAATGAAACTTGACCACTGTCTCAGAACATACACACAAATCAATTTCAGGTGGATTTTATGCTCAATGTCAAAGGTAAAACAGTAAGGGTGGTCTGGCGGTTAAGACTCAGCGCTCTCACCTCTCCGGTCGGATTCACTTTCCAGTCAGGGAACCACACCCTCTGTCAGTTGTCGTACTGTGGTGGCTGCGTGTGGCTGTGATGCTGAAAACTCTGCCACGGGTATTTCAAATACCAGCAAGTTCACCCACAGTGGACAGGTTTCAGTGGAGCTTCCAGACTAAGACAGACCAGGAAGAAGGACCTGGCCACCCACTTCCAAAACAATCGGCCATGGAAATCCTGTGAATAGCAGGGAGCCTTGTCTGCTATGGCATGGGAAGGTGAGAGGAATGCGCAAAAGGACCGGGCAGGGTTCTGCTCTGCTGTACACAGGATCAC